AAGCATGAATATGGCTTTTCTGCATGGAAAAATAAAGTCTTTTAAAAGGGGGCCATAGTCCAAAGGCAGCAGGCGAGCAACCAGGCTTCTCCAATGCAATGTGGCGAGATTGGTCTCGTCACAATTATGTTTTAAGGCGACATTGATTTGACGCACCGTCAGACCAACCTGAACCTCTGCTACAAATCTGCCGAGAAGAATGGACGCAAAATATTCCAGGCAGTGAGCAAAGCTGGGAGGAACTTACCTCTAATACTGCCACTGGTGCTACACTAGATATTAGTACAAGGTTTCGGAATATTTAACATGCACAATATTACAGTTTTTCTGTTAAATCTCTTCTCACGGATGAATAGTTCTGACTTTAATATGCACTCTGAGAATAAATGGGTGTGCTTTAAAAATATTGTTTTGGCATTAGTGAGTGCTGAGACCTCACTCCAAGATTCACACAGTGCTGAGAGCTCACTCCAAGACTCACACAGTGCTCAGTGCTCACTCCAAGATTCACACAGTGCTGAGAGCTCACTCCAAGATTCACACAGTGCTGAGAGCTTATTCCAAGATTCACACAGTGCTGAGAGCTCACTCCAAGACTCACACAGTGCTGAGAGCTCACTCCAAGACTCACACAGTGCTGAGAGCTCATTCCAAGATTCACACAGTGCTGAGAGCTCACTCCAAGATTCACACAGTGCTGAGAGCTCACTCCAAGATTCACACAGTGCTGAGAGCTCACTCCAAGATTCACACAGTGCTGAGAACTCACTCCAAGATTCACACAGTGCTGAGTGCTCACTCCAAGATTCACACAGTGCTGAGAGCTCACTCCAAGATTCATACAGTGCTGAGAACTCACTCCAAGATTCACACAGTGCTGAGTGCTCACTCCAAGATTCACACAGTGCTGAGAGCTCACGCCAAGATTCATACAGTGCTGAGAGCTCACTCCAAGATTCACACAGTGCTGAGAGCTCACTCCAAGATTCACACAGTGCTGAGAGCTCACTCCAAGATTCACACAGTGCTGAGTGCTCACGCCAAGATTCATACAGTGCTGAGAGCTCACTCCAAGATTCACACAGTGCTGAGTGCTCACGCCAAGATTCATACAGTGCTGAGAGCTCATTCCAAGATTCACACAGTGCTGAGAGCTCACTCCAAGATTCACACAGTGCTGAGTGCTCACACCAAGATTCATACAGTGCTGAGACCTCACTCCAAGATTCACACAGTGCTGAGAGCTCACTCCAAGACTCACACAGTGCTCAGTGCTCACTCCAAGATTCACACAGTGCTGAGAGCTCACTCCAAGATTCACACAGTGCTGAGAGCTTATTCCAAGATTCACACAGTGCTGAGAGCTCACTCCAAGACTCACACAGTGCTGAGAGCTCACTCCAAGACTCACACAGTGCTGAGAGCTCATTCCAAGATTCACACAGTGCTGAGAGCTCACTCCAAGATTCACACAGTGCTGAGAGCTCACTCCAAGATTCACACAGTGCTGAGAACTCACTCCAAGATTCACACAGTGCTGAGTGCTCACTCCAAGATTCACACAGTGCTGAGAGCTCACTCCAAGATTCATACAGTGCTGAGAACTCACTCCAAGATTCACACAGTGCTGAGTGCTCACTCCAAGATTCACACAGTGCTGAGAGCTCACGCCAAGATTCATACAGTGCTGAGAGCTCACTCCAAGATTCACACAGTGCTGAGAGCTCACTCCAAGATTCACACAGTGCTGAGTGCTCACGCCAAGATTCATACAGTGCTGAGAGCTCACTCCAAGATTCACACAGTGCAGAGTGCTCACGCCAAGATTCACACAGTGCTGAGAGCTCACTCCAAGATTCACACAGTGCTGAGTGCTCACGCCAAGATTCATACAGTGCTGAGAGCTCACTCCAAGATTCACACAGTGCTGAGTGCTCACGCCAAGATTCATACAGTGCTGAGAGCTCACTCCAATATTCACACAGTGCTGAGAGCTCACTCCAAGATTCATACAGTGCTGAGAGCTCACTCCAAGATTCACACAGTGCTGAGTGCTCACGCCAAGATTCCTACAGTGCTGAGAGCTCACTCCAAGATTCACACAGTGCTGAGAGCTTACTCCAAGATTCACACAGTGCTCAGTGCTCACTCCAAGATTCATACAGTGCTGAGAATTCACTCCAAGACTCACACAGTGCTGAGAGCTCACTCCAAGATTCACACAGTGCTGATAGCTCACTCCAAGATTCACGCAGTGCTGAGAGCTCACTCCAAGATTCATACAGTGCTGAGAGCTCACTCCAAGATTCACACAGTGCTGAGTGCTCACTCCAAGATTCACACAGTGCTGAGAGCTCACTCCAAGATTCACGCAGTGCTGAGTGCTCACTCCAAGCTGTTTAGATAACAGCCAAGGTATTCAGACAGGTTTCTTATTTCAGAACAGAACATCCTGTGTGTTAAATTATGAGTGAGCTGAATGCATTTGGGGACATTTTAATACTTTTTATATCTCCATATTTGCCACGAAATGCAACCATTTGTCTCAAACTCTTACCGTGAAGTACTTTACCCTCTGGACAGAAACATCCTTCAACACAGGAGCGGAACGCACAGAGCTCCCCAGGATCCAGGGCCGGGTTCTTGCAGGTCCGAGGACACGCAGGACCGCAGGCTTCATAAATGAGCCCATTATCGCACTGCATGGCTGGCCAAGAGGGAGAGCAGATATAAAATATTATATTATAATAAAAAAAACACCAACAAATTACTAAGACATCATTTTCAGAAATCTTTAAAATGGCTTCATCCTGTAATCATTCATTTCTCCCAGATACTTACGACACAAGTCTTGTGTCCTCCAGCGTATATACACGCCGTGACGGTTACACTCCTCAGCGTAGGTTGCAATGGCTGTACACAGACACTCACAGTCCCCTCCAGAATCACAACTATGTATAAGGAGAGAGCGGACACCTAGTAATGTCTCCACAAAGATTATTACAATAGTATAAAATTCAAAGCATAAAAACGGATATTAGTAAGGATAGGTAATATCAGGGAAATCAGACATTTTCCTTTTTCACCAACACATAACATCAACAATTCTGGGATTATTATACAGGATTAATGGATCTAATCCAACGGAGCATTAGGGACAAAAAGCACATGTGCAGCCAGCACTGCATTCCTCCAAGCAAACAGATTTTAACTCAGTGCTGTCAGCAGAAGTTGGCTGCAAGTAAGTAGGCACTAGAGGTGGATTTAATTCTTCAGTGGAAAAATTGCTGTCTTTATTAAATAGCAATGGACCAATGCAACCAGAACACTTCAATGGGTGATTAATTGGGTCACTGAAAGGCTTTATTAAACAAAAAGTGACTGGTCTGATAACATTCCCCCGAAGCTGATCATGAAAGTAGAATTAGAGGAGAATGACCGAGACATGGATTGTCCTCTCTTTCTACAAGGCAGCACTTTGTCACTTACCCACAAGCATCGTAGACACACCAGTCATAATACTGCTGACAGGGCACCTCCTGGTGACAGGGCAAAAACAGCTCATGCATGAGAATTCCGCAACGCTTCCTGGCCCAGGTAACACGGTGACTGTTCTCCTGAAATAAGCAAACAGTGATTGTAATGAAAGGAAAGCTTTCTCGAGCTGTCCTGAAGAGCTTGCAATCTCCCTTCCTTTCTCTCTTTTTCCCATCTTCGTAGGAGTGATGATAAAGTCACACCGGTGGGTACAGTGGGCACATGTAGGGGCCTGGCATTATTATGACTTGATAAAGTCACAGTGGGCACATGTAAGGGCCTGGCATTATTATGACTTGATAAAGTCACAGTGGGCACATGTAGGGGCCTGGCATTATTATGACTTGATAAAGTCACAGTGGGCACATGTAGGGGCCTGGCATTATTATGACTTGATAAAGTCACAGTGGGCACATGTAAGGGCCTGGAATTATTATGACTTGATAAAGTCACAATGGGCACATGTAGGGGCCTGGCATTATTATGACTTGTAGGCACCTGTCTAGTTTGCCCAATGAAAGAGAAGGCCGTAATAGCGTGAAACGGTCTTACTGTGCAAGGATGCTGAAAATCATCGCTGTGGACTTCAGGACACATCAAGCTCATTCGCCAGCTGTTTCCAAACAGGTCAGAGGTGGGCTCGATAATTCCTTGCCGACTCATGAAGTCGTTCTCTGTGTCTCCATCGAAGTTACCACATAAACCACTGACACGGCCCTGGAACCCCGGGTCTAGTTTAACGTAAACCCTGGTACCTGAAAAAGCACAACATCTGACATAACTCTATAGTATCATATAATAATATAATATCATAAATCTATAGGATCATATAATAATCTAATATCATAAATCTAGAGTATCATATAATAACATATCAGGAATCTATAGGATCATATAATAATATAATATCAAAAAGCTACAGTTGCAATAAAAAGTATGTGAACCCTTTGGAATGATATGGATTTCTGCACAAGTTGGTCATAAAATGTGATCTGATCATCATCTAAGTCACAACAATAGACAATCACAATCTGCTTAAACTAATAACACACAAAGAATGAAATGTTGCCATGGTTTTATTGAACACACCATGTAAACATTCACAGTGCAGGTGGAAAAAGTATGTGAACCCTTGGATTTAATAACTGGTTGAACCTCTTTTGGCAGCAATAACTTCAACCAAACGTTTCCTGTAGTTGCAGATCAGACGTGCACAACGGTCAGGAGTAATTCTTGACCATTCCTCTTTACAGAACTGTTTCAGTTCAGCAATATTCTTGGGATGTCTGGAACATCCAGGTGCTCTTGTGCAAACTGTAAACGTGCAGCAATGTTTTGTTTGGACAGCAATGGCTTCCTCTGTGGTATCCTCCCATGAAATCCATTCTTGTTTAGTGTTTTACGTATTGTAGATTCGCTAACAGGGATGTTAGCATTTGCCAGTGACTTTTGTAAGTCTTTAGCTGACACTCTAGGATTCTTCTTCACCTCATTGAGCAGTCTGCGCTGTGCTCTTGCAGTCATCTTTACAGGACGGCCACTCCTAGGGAGGGTAGCAGCAGTGCTGAACTTTCTCCATTCATAGACAATTTGTCTTACCGTAGACTGATGAACAGCAAGGCTTTTGGACATTGTTAAGACACCTCCCGTGTCTTTAAGCCAAACCGCCGTTTAGTAAACCTTCCCCGGCTGCAGTACAGTCTCTGTTCGCTTACTCTGTAACCCACGAACCAAATGCAGGGGAAGCGGCAATCTCCCGATCGAAATCCACGAACGGCTCCAAACTCCCGAACGGCAATATACGAACTGCTAGGAACCGTCGAACAATAATATCCCCAAAGCGGCTTTCGTTCCATCCAGCAGTCTCTAAACGTGAAGAAGAAATCCCCCCAATAACGAGACAGAAGCTCCGCATTGAGGGTCAAATAAGATCTGGGTTTACTGTGGGCTACCTGCCCGTATTTATGCAGGTCTCCCACCTGGTGGACACTCCCCTAGGGGACCAAATGGAAGACTTAAAGTACAGACAGATAGCAGGACATTTCTGACACACAGTCACATATTTTACCCACAGTACATTCTGATTCCCTCCCCTCTGTCCTGGAGTTAATTACCAAGTAACTCAATTAACTCCAGGACAAGGACAGTCGCCATCTTAAACATGAAATAATAAAAGACACAAAAATGCATAACTACATGAAAACTGAACATTTCCCATTCGTATTACATGTCCCCAGATAGCCTGGATCTGAGTGCATATTATTGGCGAATAGCGCTCAGATCCCACACACATAGTTCAATCGCCATGGAGTCAAAGTTCTTACAGTCCTTCGGTACACGAATGACTCCATGGGTGGGCTATCTGGGTTAAGTCTTTTGTGTGTTCTCAATCTCCCGAACGGCCGATGTTCGCATGCTTTCGTGGAGGCAGCCAGGCGTTCCCTTGTTTCAGCGGTGTTCGACAGAAAAAGTGTCCGTTTTCCGTTCCATAGAAATAGAGCCAAACACCGCTGAGCGTTCGCATGATTTAAAATGGCCGCTGCCTCGTGGTCGACATACGAACGACGACCACCCTGAGTTCGGTTTAATTGAGAAGTGTCTGCGGTTAACCACAACGTTATAATGGTGATCACTTCGTTAACCTGCAGCACACTCCTCACTTGGGTGGCCGTTCGTTCGGCGGTTTTGTTCGGGAAAAAGAGTCATTCGAATGGCTGGGCTATAGAAACCAGCCATTCATACGAACGGGGACAAACAGACGAACGGGCAAAAATCCAGCAGACAGATGGTTCTGTCACACGGCTCCCTCCTTGTGGGACACTCCGGCAGACCCGGCTTGACCCTGTGGCGGGTCAACTTGGGGATGACCGGACTACGAGGTGATGGAAACGTCTGTTTGTCGTGACAACCCATCTGCGTTTCCGTTTAGCTTACCGGGTCTGTAGCTGATGGTAAAATTGTAGGGCTGTAGTGCCAAGCTCCATCTCAGCAGTCTCCCATTGTCTCCTGAGACCCGGTTAAGCCAAACGAGTGGGTTGTGATCAGTCACAAGGGAAAACTCTTGCCCATACAAATAGGGGCTTAACTTTTTCAATGCCCAGACCAAAGCCAAACACTCCTTCTCCACTGCCGCATAACTCACTTCTCTGGGTAACAACTTTCTGCTGAGATATGCGACAGGGTGCTCTCCTCCATCTTCCCCGACTTGGCTCAGCACAGCCCCCAGTCCATACATGGAAGCATCTGTATGGACGAGAAAGCGTTTGTTAGGGACTGGGGCAGCCAAGACAGGGGCATTCACAAGAGCCTGCTTCAGTGCCTGGAACGCAGCTTCACAAGCCGGAGACCACAGGACCTGCTTAGGCAAGTTCTTCTTCGTCAGGTCTGTCAGGGGCTTAGCGATAGCGCTGTAGTCAGGGACAAAACGTCTGTAGTACCCTGCCGTCCCCAAGAAGGCCAATACCTGGGTCTTAGTAGTAGGTGTGGGCCAGTTAGCCACTGCCTCTACCTTGGCTGGCTCTGGTCTCTGGCTCCCACACCCCACTCTGTGACCCAGGTACTGCACTTCAGCCATACCTAGATGACACTTTTCTGGCTTCAACGTCAGGCCAGCGGCCCTAATCTTATCCAGCACTACCCCTACATGTACCAGGTGTTCCTCCCAGGACCCACTGTAGATCGCAATGTCGCCCAAGTATGCACAGGCAAATTCTTGGAAGCCATCCAGGAGTCTATCCACCATCCGTTGGAAAGTAGCCGGTGCATTTTTCATCCCAAAAGGCATGACCTTAAATTGGTACAGGCCAAATGGGGTGACAAATGCCGACTTGGGGATAGCATCCTCGGCCAGGGGGATCTGCCAGTAGCCCTTACACAGGTCTATGGTGGTCAGATATCGCCCCCTGGCAATACGATCTAGTAATTCGTCTACCCGGGGCATTGGGTAGGCGTCAGTGGTGGTCCGCTCGTTGAGTCGCCTGTAGTCCACACAGAACCGGGTGGTCCCATCTTTCTTGGGCACCAGGACTACAGGCGAGGCCCAAGGGCTGTCGGAGTGCTCGATGACCCCAAGCTGGGTCATCTCCTGTATCTCCTTCCGCATTCCTTCACGGACTGCTTCAGGGATACGGTAGGGGGGCTGTCGTAACGGGGTCTGTCCAGGGGTCTCTACCTTATGCACAGCTAGGGTGGTATAACCTGGTTCCTGGGAGAACGTCGCCTGCTTCTCCCATAACAACTGCTGCGCCTGTACCCTTTCTGTGGGGTTCAACCGGTCCCCTAGCTGTACCAAGGTAGTAAGGTCAGTCTGGGAATCCCTTTCTAATAGATCTGGAAGGGGTAAATTCTCAGAATCATCTGCAGCTGGGGCACACACTGCTGCAATATTCTCAGGTCTCTCCTGGTACTCTTTCAGCATGTTCACATGAAAGGACCGCTGGATCCTCTCATCTGCACAGCTGGCTATCAAGTAAGTAGTGTCGCAGATCTGCGCCACTACCTTGTACGGGCCCTGCCAAGATGCTTGCATCTTGTTGGCCTTCACAGGTTTAAGCACCAATACCTTTTGCCCAACCTGGAAGACCCGCTGTCGGGCACCCTGATCGTACCATCTCCTCTGTCTCCCCTGGGCTGCCTGGAGATTCTCCCTTACCATCAGGGACAGTTTCTCCATGCGGTCCCGGAGTTCCAGAACATATGGCACTATGGGGGTCCCTTCCTGCTCCGTCTCCCCCTCCCAGTGGCCTCTAATGAGATCTAGGGGTCCGCGGACCCTTCTCCCATACAGCAGCTCAAAGGGGGAGAACCCAGTAGATTCCTGGGGCACCTCTCTATAAGAAAATAATAGATGAGGCAGGAATCTCTCCCAGTCTCTGCAAGTGTCTGTAAAGGTCCTCAGCATCTGTTTGAGGGTACCGTTAAAGCGCTCGCAGAGACCGTTAGTCTGTGGGTGGTAGGGTGAGCTAAGTAACGGCTTAATGCCGCACACCTTCCACAGTTGCTGGGTGAGCACAGCGGTGAATTGGGTTCCCTGGTCGGAGAGGATCTCCTTAGGGAACCCGACCCTAGTAAAAATTCTAACCAGGGCATCAGCAACCGTCTCTGCCTCTATGTTAGACAGCGCTACTGCCTCTGGATAGCGGGTGGCATAGTCCACCACGGTAAGAACATACTTCTTACCGGATGGACTAGCCCTGGCCAGTGGACCCACAATGTCAACGGCTATGCGGGCAAAGGGCTCCCCTATAATAGGCATCGATAATAGCCTAGCCTTAGGGTGGTCCCCCCGCTTTCCTACCCGTTGACATGTGTCACACGTGCTGCAGTACATCCGCACAGCCTGGTTAAAGTTTGGCCAAAAGAAGTTCTGTGAAATCCTATAGGCTGTGCGGCGGGACCCTAGATGTCCAGCTAAAGGAACATCATGCCCTATCCGCAGAATCTCCTGCCGGTACTTTGCAGGTACCACTAACTGGCGATTCGGCGGAGAGGCAACACTCTTCTGGGAAGGTTTAGGGATCCTATATAACCTGTCCCCCACCCACTCATACCGTTCCCCATCTATTCCTTCCTCCCCAGCCTCTGCCCTGTCCTTGTATCTTTGGAGGGTCGGATCCGCCCGGGTTTCCCTCCCAAACTCCTCTGGGGAATCCCAGCTTAAGGGGACCTGATCTGGGGTATCAGTCGGGGAAGGAGATCTTACCTGGGTCTCGTCAGCAAGTGGGCTGGTTCCGGCAGCACGGGTCTGGGCACGGGT